GGGGGGGACAGGTGGCAGCTCCCCGCTCCCTCGCCGTGGCGGCGCTGGCACATGGCGCTGCTGCCGCAGCTGTGGCCCCGCGCTCGCCTCGCCGCCGGGSCACGAAGGAGGCGGTTACCCCGCGGCGGCTCCCGGCCTCGCCACCGACCGCCCGCGGCTCCTGACACCTGCGCTGTCACCGATAACGCTGCCGGTCTGCGCTGCTTCTAGCCCGCGGTGAAGCCACAGAGGCGGGGGAGAGAGGCCACTTTATTTTTAGGCGACCGACCTGGGTAAATGGGGACCAAGCACYACCAAAAATCAGGGGTGCAGGATGGGGGAGCAGGACCTCCCTCCGGGTCTCGGTTGTCTGTGAGGGTGGACGTGGATGAGCCATCCCCTAGCAGTGCTGAGCAGTGACGGTGCCGGCAGAACGGCATATTCCCTACGGGGTCACTSTTGCTGCAGCGCCGTCACCTTCATGAGCCACCAGCTTGTGTTCCTGASCGGATACCTGCCACCTGCCAGTACCCTCGTGTCACCCCGGAATGGCTTGTGGTCTGGGCTGAACCCTGGTGATCCGTTTGTTGTCCCCCCCAATCGTGTCGCACGGCCCTGCTGCGGCTGCCGGTCCTTCCTGCCCGCACCGATACCCGGCCGGGGCTGAGGGGACGGGACGACCCGGCTACGCTGTCTTCACGGCGGACGGGGACCCTCACAGTGGGACCCGGCTACACTATCAACCTCCCCTCCTACACCGTAGCCTTTCCACGAAGGTCGCACAGTGTCACAGGAGCTTTTCATTCCAGAACGACTCCCGTACCTCCTGGAATAGCGTCCGAGGAAGGTGGAGGGAGCCGGAAAACGAGGGGAACCACGTCGGGAAGCGGTGCACCGCTGCCCCCCCCGGCCACGCCCCCGGCCCAGAGCCCCCGCCCCGCAGCACCACCTCCGGGCCGGCAGAGGGCGCGCCGCGCAGCCGCGACAATCCGGAAAGAGCCGAGGAGCGGCGGTAGGCGGCCAAGCCGGAGCGGACGGCTTGGGCTGAGCGGGCGCGATGGCGCAGCAGGTCGAGCAGCTGCGGGCGGACGGCGTGGACAAGGAGGTGCTGCGGGAGGGCACCGGGCCGCTGCCGGACTTCCGCGACGGCACCAAGGTCAGGGCCGCGGGCGTGCGGGCGGGGTGGGGGGATGTGGGAAGCGGAACGCGGCGGGGGATGCGCGCATGCGCGCAGCGCCCCCCACCCCCCCTCCGTCTGCGTCGCCATGGTGACGCCGGGAGCTCCTCCCGTCCCTTCAGGCCACCTTCCACTACCGGACGCTGCGGTGCGGCGATGAGGAGACGCCGGTGGACGACAGCAGGGCGCGGGGGAAGCCCATGGAGCTGATCGCCGGGAAAAAGTTCAAGCTGCCGGTGTGGGAAGCGGCGCTGCGAACCATGCGGCCCGGCGAGCGCGCGCGCTTCCGCTGCGACGCCAAGGTGGGCGGGGCCGGGGCTGACGGGAGGGGCGTGGTTTGTTGTTCGGGGGCGTGGCTTGCCTCGGTGGGCGGTGCTTTTTCCCGCTGGGCGTGGCTTGCGGGCGCCTCGGTGCTCTCCGGCCGTGGGGTGCGAGGCTGGAGCGTCCCGATGTTCTCCGCCTCCACCCCCCCAATTCCCGGCTCTGTTCCCTCCCGCAGCACGTAGTGCTCTACCCGCTGGTGTCCAAGAGCCTGCGGAACATCGCAGCAGGGAAGGACCCGCTGGAGGGGCAGCGGCACTGCTGCAACCTTGCCCAGATGCACGAGCACTACTCCCTGGGGTACCCCGACCTCGACGAGCTCCAGAAGAACCCCCAGCCCCTCATTTTCGACATCGAGGTGCTCAAGGTGAGGTGCCGGCATGGGGAGCTCAGGGATGGAAGTGTCCAGAAAACACATAGGTGTGGCACATGGGACATGGTTTAGTGGTGGCCTTGGCAGTGCAGGACTCAATGATCCTAGAGGTCCTCTCTGACTTAAACGATTCCATGATCCTGTTCTCTGATTCCATGATGGGGTGCTGGCAGGTGGAGCCACCCGGCTCCTACCAGCAGGACCCATGGGCCATGACAGATGAGGAGAAGCTCCAAGCTGTGCCCCAGATCCACAAGGAAGGCAACGAGCTGTACCGGCAGGGCAAGGTGCCTGAGGCAGCTTCCAAATACTACGATGCCATTGCCTGTCTCAAGAACCTGCAGATGAAGGTGGGTCTCCCCAGATGCACACAGGCAGCCCTCTGGAACGCAGGGCTTGAGAGCTACCCCTCACCCTCCCTACATTGTCTGCCACAGGAGCAGCCAGGCTCTCCAGACTGGATTGAGCTCGATCAGAAGATCACACCCCTGCTCTTAAACTACTGCCAGTGCAAGCTGCAGTGCGAGGAGTACTATGAGGTGTTGGACCACTGCTCCTCCATCCTCAACAAATATGAAGGTAAGGAGCCATCCCAGGCAGCTGCACCAGGCACTGGGAGACCCCCATGCTTTGCTGACCTCCAACTGTCTCCCCACAGACAACGTCAAGGCCTATTTCAAGCGGGGCAAGGCMCACGCGGCTGTGTGGAACGTGGCTGAGGCGCAGGCTGACTTTGCCAAAGTGCTGGCCCTCGATCCCTCACTGCGCCCCGTGGTCTCCAAGGAGCTGCGGAGCCTGGAAGCACGGCTGCGGGAGAAGGATGCCGAGGACAAGATCCGCTTCAAGGGCATCTTCTCCCAGTAGAGCCCACGGCCGCAGGGGAGAGCCCAGCGCGCTTGGGACAGGTTTAGATATTCCACATGTGGAATGATCATGGATGTTTATTAATGTTTAATACAGATTTTACTTATCTGAAGTCAGTGGAAACGGCCCAGGAGCTCGCCACAGCCAGGGAYACGGCCGGGCACGTACGTGGCAGCRTAAAGCATCGCAGCACAYGGCTGAAGCTCTTTGCTGGGCTCTAGACTCTGCTCATTGTCACACCAGGGCTGCATGGGTGACACGAGCCAGCTGCTCCCTGCCAACTTTTATCACTTATTKGATGTTTTTATACTTTATGATGGCAATGGGGGTCTGTAGTGCTGAGCCTCCTTCCAGCTCCAACCCCTTCGATGCCTGTTCTCCACGCCACGCCATTGTCACTTCTCCAGGCTGCTGCTATCATCCCAAACCAGTGTTTCCTCTTGTCATGTCATGTCGGGAATATTTTATAATGAATAACAGCTTGTTCCTGCTCTGCTATCTCTATAAACCTCTGGTTGTGCTATGCCAAGATAAACTCAAGTAAAACCAGTCCCAGCCCCTGSTCACTACAAAAATTTGCTGCTAGAGGTAAATGAGGGGAAACCAAGGCGGAGGGGGCAARTATCAGCATTGGCACAGCCCACACATCCCAGGCTCTTTTCCCTKTCCTAGATTGCTTGTGACCCCACTGCTGTGCCCCACAGCCACCTCCCTGTGGTATATGGTGGCCCYGGAGGTTTTCATGGTGTGTTGACCRCACAATTGGAGCAGGGCAAGGGAGGGCATATCCCACCATTCCCTTGCCCCCAGCACATCATCTCTCTTCCGGTGCCCTACTTTGGAAAATAATCCTTTGGGTGTGGTCTCCACAGCTCAGCTGTGCCTTCCCTTTGATAAAATCCCTGGGAGCAGGGAGGTTTTGGAGGCAGCACCCACACGTGTTGTGTGGGGAGATCCCAGCTTGTCTCCACACAAGCTCCTGGCAGCCACCCATGTCCTCTCCTAGGCACAGGCAGGACTCAGGGTGACAGGGCACCAGGGCTTCCCAGGGCTTTCCYAGTGGGTGTGAGCCCTGGTGCCACAAGCACAGCACAGAGCAGACAGTGGGTGCTGGCACCTTGTGGTAACATCTCTTTATTCAACACCGAAACGAAACGGGGGGAACAGAGGAACTACTCTGGAACCCCAACCCGGCCCTGCCCCGCGACRCCAGACGGAAATAAATAGGTGGGGAAGTGCCACTCACCCTGGGGCACAGCCACAGCCCCCCCAGTTTTGCACTGAGCACTGCCCAACAGCCCCAAAGGACCAGAGGGGATGGGGCTGGGAGCAGCAGGGAGGACCCARGGTGGCTCAGCCCTGAGGGGATCACTCTGGCCCTCATGGGGGGCTCGGAACCATCTCCCAGCACCCCTCAGTCTCAGGGGACCCAGTGCTCTCATCTCCTGTCTATGGGCTCGTGGCCCTTTACTGGCTCTGGCGCCAGGTGCTCCTTGCTGGGAAATCAGGGATGCAGCAGAGGGGGGAACATGGCCGTGCCACCCTCACTCCTCACCCTCTAGCTTGAGGCTGACACTGCGGGGCTTGGCCCGGGACAAGCCAGGGGGTGCTGACGGGGGGCCCCCATCCCGCTCTGCCTGGCTGGAGCCCCGGGAGCGCAGGAGCTGGCTCTGCTTCCGCAGGAAGTCAACAGGYGCTGGGCAGCCATAGGTGCCTTTGCCCAGCACAGGTCGTGGGGGGCCCTTGGGGGAGTGGGCCAGGGCTGCGGCTTCCAGCTGGGCCAGGTGGGCAACATAGCCCTCGGAGAGGAACTGCAGGACACACAGACAGCCTGAACTGGTGGCCAGGGCCGGCTGGTGGGGTCAGCCATCATCCCCTGCATCCCCAGTCTGTCTCCAGCCCTGMCACCAACATACCTGGCACTGGTTGTGGAACTTCTTGACCGCCCGTCCCACAATGTAGATGTGTGCTGGTGCGAGTCCCAGTGAGCTGTAGACTGAGACATCCTTGGTGGAGCCGTAGCCAGCAACTATGGAGATCTCGGCCTGCCCAGGGACAAGAGCATTGGGGCAGGGAACAACCCTTCCCACAGGAACAGCCACCCCCAGGGGCTGGGATAGCCTCGTGGTGCAAGGGATGGTTAGGAGCTGCCCTGAGAAGCTTCCAGCTCTGCCACAGCAGTGTGGTCCAGCTACCAGCATCTCCACYGGGATGCAGAGGTGCACAGGCTTCAGCACAGCTCATGCCACCCCAGCCCCAGCCCCGTGTCTCCCCAGCAGCAACCCCATCCCCACCTCGGTGCGCAGGCTCTGCAGGAAGGCGGCTTTCTGGCGCAGCGGGTCATGGGTGAGCCCATCGCAGAAGGACACAGCGCCGTGGGGGAAGTTGTGCTGGGAGAGCCAGGCCACCACGCGATGCTTCTGCATGTCAGGACGCCCYGTCACGTAGATGATCATGTACCCCGAGTCCTGCCAGTGCCTAGGAGAGGACATGGGTGGCTGCCAGGAGCCTGTGTGGAGACAGTCCTGCTGTGGGAAACTGGGATCTCCCCACACATGTGCAGATGCATAGATATTATGTACTGAGGGCAAGGGAGTGGTGGACATCCTCTCCCTTGCCCTGCTCCAGCYAGCTTATCCACACACCATGAAAGAYGGGGAGATTGACTTCCTTACTGAAGGGCACCCACCTTACAACGTCCACAGCCCCTGCTCGCACTTTGGGGTCACTWCCCATGATGGAGACGCTGGCAGTGAAGGAGCCGTCGATGCTGAACACAACAGACTCGGTGCCACGGGCCACCACGGTCAGGTATGCCTCGGCATAGCTGTGGTCCCCCCTGCAATGGGAGAGGTGGGGGTTCAGCACTGGCTCTGCTGTGAGGGCAGCAGGTGTGGCTCTGCCAAAAGGGCAGGAGGAACTGAAGGGACACCACACCTGACCACCATGCGCACRGGGTAAATCCCGATGGCCAGAGCCTTGTCTGGAGGGATGGTGAAGGTCAGGCGCCCACTGCCACTTGTCACCTCGGTGCCATAGTACAGCCACTTCCCTGACAGYGGCTGTGTCATGATGTAGATGTCCACCTGGGAGAGGGAAATGGGCTGAGCACRAGCTGCAACCCCACATCCTGCTGTGTCCCTACCTGCAAGTCCTTAGRCCTTCTCTCCCACACAGGGTCCTGTTAACCACATCCTTCCCCTACTGTGGATAATAGCCCCATGCATGGTTGTGGACACCCCACCCTGTTTGAGGAGTCCTGGTGACCCCCTGAGCCCAGCAGTACCTTCTCCCCAGTCAGTGTCACCACATCCAGGGGTCCGTACATGAAGCGCCCACTGAGGACCTGCGCTTTGCCCTCGCACACGATCACATCGCAGGCCCGGTGGTTGGCTGTCACATTCTGCAGGCACACARGGTGCTCAGCAGCTCCTGGGGGAGCTCCTGAGGTGGCACCAGGACACCACTAGGCTGTGGGATTGTCCCAGAACCCGCACACCCGAGGATGCCGCGGGTGGGCTCCCACTGGCCACATACCCGGATCTTCACTTGGGTGCGCTTGCGCTGCCACTTCTCCCGAGGGATGGCGGGGCTGTAGATGGAGCTCTCCTCGCTCTCCGCCGGCTGTGGCCCCTCCTTCTCCATCACCTGCCAATGGCATGACCCTGGCTCAGCCTCCGCTAGCCCTGGCTCGCTGCCCGCACCACCATGCCCGCCATACCTGGCGCAGGATGAAGGCCACCACGTCGGASGATTCCCAGTAGCTGGCGTGGAAGAGRTGGGGCAGGGTGATRGTGGGGAAGGCAGTCAGGGCGTCGGGGCAGTACAGAGAGTAGTCGATGCGTTTCGGGCCCCACCAGCGCTCCAGGACTGTGAGGGGAGCTGGGATGAAGCCTTTCCCAGACCTCATCCCAAGTCGTGCAGCCGAAGGTGTCCGGATGGGATGGGGTGGGTAGGGATCACACTTACTCTTGACAACCTCRCTCGTGCTGGCAGAAGTGGGGGGCTCTGCCAGCTCATTGCCCTTCCAGAAGCCCCCAAAGCTGCCAGTGGGAGTAGGTGGGGCAACCAYATCCACTTTGGGCAGGAACAGGGCAGAGTGTGTCTGCAGGGCCTCCGCTGCAGAGAGAGCTGGGTGAGCACACACAGAGCCCCCAGAGACACCCACCACCGCAGAACCCACCTCCAGTAGAGACCCAGAGCAGTGGGAAGGACATGCACATCCCTCTTCCCCCACCCAGTCAGGCTGTGGGTGCTCTGAGGCCCCTGATGTGGCCCCAGGGTGCCTGACAGCAGTGTGATGGGGACTTGCTCACCCAACAGGGACGAGGTGCCATCACCCAGAGGGTACTTCTGGTATCGGGGCACACTGAGCGGGGGCACAGTGTGGAAGGCYTTAGCCAAGAGGGGCTCCAGGCGGGAGGCGCAGGGATCGGCGGCGTGGAAGAGGTTGTAGATCTGCTCACAGGCAGGACGCAGCTGGGCCACTGCAACAGAGAGCAGGATCAGGGGTGCCCACAAGGACTGGGTGCACCAAGAGCAAAACATCCAAGAGGGGTAAAAGCAGGACACAGCAAGAGGAAAGGCTGGAGAGAGAAATTTGGGGCACTGGGGACAGGCTGGGGCTGGCACAGAGCAGGGACATTCAGCCACCCACCAACACCCACACAGCCATGGCTGGGCATGCGAGTGGCTCAAACCCAGGCAGGGCTCTCTGGGGTGGTCCCAGGGAGCTCACGCTCGTGTGGGGAGCACAACACAGGGACTTGAGCCCTGCAGGGAGGGTCAGGGGCTGGCACCGCGGCAGGCAGGGGTCCTCACCATCCAGAGCAGGCATGACGGTCTTGCGCAGCGCGAGCACCAGCCCCAGCGGGGAACCAAAGAGGAAGAAGCCGGATACCTTAAATTCGAGGCGGGTGCTGGCACCCTCCACCCCATCCAGCGCCGTGGCACCACTCCGAGGTGCCTCTGCCTCCRGTGGGGCCTCGCTGGCCTGCAGGCTGGGACAGTGGAGAGAGTGGGCATGGGGAAGGATGGCAACAGCCCGTCCCACCATTCTGAAGGCAAAGCTGATCCTGGTGTGACCCTGTTATCCCAAARGAGCTCCAGCAAGATTCCCCCGGGGCAGGCAGCTCCAAATGCTCTTTCTCAGCCTGAAGCAGATGGGAATTGCATGGTTTCCACAAGATAGCCAGCCATCGCCCTTGGGCTCACCTGGATGTGGAACTGTGCTGCTGGCTGTCCCCTTGTGTCCCTGGGGGCTCAGGGCTGGCCTGGCTCAATCCCAGTACTCCATCTGTCCCATCAGCCAGTGGGTCYGGGCCGCTGCACTGCTCTGGGGAGATGGGCTCCATGCTCTGCAGGGAGAGGCAGCAAACACCCAGACCTCACTTAGCCCCCAGTGCACCCCCAAACCCTCCCCACAGGGTATTGGGCTGTGGGCACTCACCAGGCTGCCACGGCGGCTGCTGTTCCGGCTGCCCCCYGAGCCCGCCCGGCTCTGGCATAATGCGTCAAATCCCAGGATGCTACCCACACAGTCCCCCAGCAGCACCACCTGTGGAGAGCATGGACCCACG